TTTTTTTTTTTTTTTTCCCCTTTTTTTGCACTATTCCTATCACACTAGCGAATGGAATAAAGCTGCAAGGTGGGCAAACGCGTTAGTAAATATCCCCCCCCGTCGCAGTTGTTTCTTTATTGAAACAGCATAACCGTGGCACGGGCAACATACACAAAGGTGTGCACAAATTGCACATATAACAGTAGGCAAATGGGGGCAGTATATTTACAATTGTATGGCTCAATTTTTCAAACAGGTTGGCTTAACTCTTCACGGAGGAGATAGTCGGGCAAACGTTAATCAGTGGTGGGAAGAAGGCACGTATCAACATGGGGTAAATCGAATTTTATAAAATTTAAATACTTTCTGGTACTGTTACCGATACCTGCGGAATGGGCACCGGACTGTGGCTACCACGCCTGCGCAGATAACATGCATGCCTTCGCAGTACTCTTATGCGCACGTCACGGAAGTACGTACATATATATATATTAATATGCATATGCTGTGCTGGACTTTTCCAGTAACATTCCATCCAAACTGCGCAAGTGAAGCAGAAATGGGATTGGGCTACTGATAAAAAGGGATGACAAACTGGAGGGAAGGGTACCAAATCATTTCGTATGCTTTACAAAATTACCATGTACACGTGTCATTTTAAAGGTATTATTCACCTGCTTTGGCTTCGTTCCGTTTTGTTTTGTTTTATTTAATTTTATTCTTTTCATCTTAGTTCAGTTTAACATTTTGTACTTATTTTTTTTTTTTTTTTTTTCTATTTTTAATCAGGGATATATTTCCTCGTAGGCCCATGTCCCTTCACTTGTCACACAGCAGGAAGAGGAGGCGGCAATTCAGGCTCGCATAAGTGCACAAACACTTTCTTAATTATTCTGCGTCGCTTCGAATCGTTATAGTGGCACCATTTACATACACGCTTCTGCCCCTATTGCGCAATGCTCACATTTTAGGAAAGGCTTTTCAGGTATGTGGCATCGCAGCGGAGTAAGAGTTGTGCCTTCACCCGATTTGCGCAGCGTATGATCTTTTTCGAGGGGCTCATTTTATTCCGTTCTGAAGTTACGCCGGCGGTGAATTCTTCTCATAGGATTTCTTTTAAAGGGAAATAAAATGAAGGGCTATGCAACACTGCATATTTTAGAAAAAAAAAAAATGGAGGGAAGAGGACTCCATGCGAGGGGGTTCGCTAAAACTGTTTTGTGAAATGTGACGAAAAGTTAAAACCATTTCACTTGATGCTTTACCACTGGTGTCCTTTTTTCGCTGTTTTTCATTCCGTTGAGTTTATCACTGGAGAAATTATTTCCATGGTTCCTGTATCTTTTTTTTACACATGGGCGGGAGGTAGCGTGGTCGCTTTATGAACACACGCGGGCGATGTAATACATGTGTAGGTAAACCCAAATAAGCTACAATGTATGCTTATGTTCTATGGATTTACCGATGAGCAGATCCCTCTTTTTTTTTTTGCGAAGCGTGAAGGAGCTGCAGAGTCACACATCCCGTTTGTGTCTCCCAAAAAAAGGAAACTATTCGCAGAGTTAGCCGGAAGCTGAACTTATCATACCCTAGCCATTATCCATAACGTAAAATTAAAAAGTGAACATGTTTGAAGAGGCTGTTTCATAAGGCTAGGTGTAAAACATGACATTCTCCTTTTTTTCTTGTCTTTTTTTTTTTTTTTTTACCATCATAAGGTGTTAAGCAAAATTGTTTCATGTGGTAGCCCCTTTCGAGTGACCCTATTGAAGCAAAGAACTAGACCGATCACTAACAATTTGTGGTCTTCATTTCGCCGAGCAATTGTGGTGCGTTCACCTTTGACAATGTGAAACGGGGGGAAAAAAAAAGAGTACACAAAGGACTAATAGTAAATAAATAACCTAGTAACAAGCGTGAACGTAAGTATCACCCCCTTTTTTCGCATTATATAATACCATTTAGCCAATTGGGGGCACTTAAATGCGGGGTTTCACATTCTGTTTACACCATTTTCGCTCTTTACGTCACTTTCGCCCTTTTCGACGACTTTTTACTCACATTTTTTTCACCAAACGATATCCTTATTGAACACATCAAAAAACTGAAAAACCTTTTAACCATTGTGCAATTTTTTTCAAATGGTCAAGGAGTACAACCCCGAGTTGCGAAGTAAAAATTTGTTCTGAATTTTTTTTTTCCGAAAGGGATTTGGTGAAATATACTCCAATTTGTATCACATTTTATCCTTTTTACATAAAAAACGCGACATGATTTTATCCTAATCGTAGCACATTACTCAGGCGACTATTGTTGGGTGATGCCCAATGGCGAGTACATAATGGGTGAGTTGTACATTTTCGCAAAATTGCAACGTATTTCGCGTATCTCTATCACTCATCGCGAAAGTGCTTGCCTTGCGGCGCACTCAAAACGGGTTTTTCATTCCACCAGTAATTACAGCCAATGAAATGAAGTGAAAAAATGAAACGTTTCCCCACTTACCAAGCATCACCTTGAACTGGTTCGAGGCATACAAGTATGAACGCACATCCGTATGTATGCCCTTTATCACGCATACGTATTTATGTGCGTGCGCAATTCGAGTGGCGAATTTTCTTCATTTTACTTTTTTTTTTTTATAACAAAAACACTGACGATATGTTTACAGAGAATTACCTGAACAGGTTTTAATTTGTTTGCCCATCATCCTGTTCACATTCGTGTGCTATAAATTTCTATACAAGTGAAGATATAAGAATAAATGGAAAGAGAAGAATAAAAGACGTAAAATAAAAGGATGCCATTTTTTCCTATTTTTTTTTTTTTAAGTTGCAAAAATAGGAACGCTTTTCACCATGAGCAAATGATACCCCTAAGCCCTTTTGCATTTTCTTCCTTCACTTCTGTTCACACGTATAGGTATACAAAAACGCCTAGCGTTTGATACACTCTAAATTGAATGCAAAAGAGAGTGAAAAAATTTAGTACGTTTTCCCCATAACTGTACACATAAGATGGAAGCATAATCCAGTCTTTTTTCTTTTTCTTTTTTTTTTCTTTTTTCTTTTTTCTTTTTTCTTTTTTTTTTTTTTTTTTTTTTTTTCTTTTTTTTTTTTTTTTTTTTTTTTTTTTTGCTTTTTTGCACCAAAATGTGAAAAAAAAATACAATAGTAGGTGAGCAGTAAGCTAATATTAACTTTCTGCGATGTTCCTCTTTTTTTAATTTATTACTTTTTATTCGAGTTCATATCCCATTACGAATTTGCTTACACGTGACAATTACGACCATTTGTTTTTTTTTTTGTTTTTTTTGGGTTTCTACTCCCACGTTTTTTCCACTTCTTCCGTATATCCCATTATAAAATATCCTCCTTTTGTGGTCCATTTTCGGTCCATTTGTTTTTGTGTGTTTGCCCAGCCCTTGCGTTGTGCCGCTTACCCATCCAGCATAGCACTCGCATTGCCCTGTATCGCCGGGATAAACCAAAATGATAAAGCGAAGTGTAACAAAATGAAACGAGCTATAGTCGAACCAAACAGAGCAGCAATATATGCATACATGCATATGTATGTATATACACCGCACACGCAGTGTAGCACCTGATCATGTGTAGACACAAGAAGGGATGCGAAAAATGAAGAAATAGGCCCACGAATAATGAAGGACTGTGTTCGTAAGAATTCACCATGCACATATGATCACACACGTCAGGGGAACCCAAAACGAGGTGGGGAAATCGCCTCTGCTGCTACCGGGGGGAAAGCCTTCCCTTTTAGCCTGTGCCCACACGATGGCTTGAAAAAAAAACGCTTGTTCGATTGGACATTGGAAGACGGTCCTCCTCTTGGGACGCAGAATAAACAACACCTGCGACTGGAGCAAGGAACTCACGCATCAGGAGAGCAGTTACTATGCCTTGTCCTGCTAGAGTGGCTTATAGAACGACTGATTGATCGACTCATTGACCGACTCGTCTTGCACGCACCGTCAGAAGTAAAAAATCGCATGAGGAACTTTCTACTCCATTGCATCAAAAATGATATACTGTGTCTTTGTAAGCTTATTGACGTTGCGTACCCCACAGATATACGAAATTTAAGTTATGAGGATGGCGAAGGCAGAATTGTTCATCCCACAATAGATGAACCTCTCCATCCTTACAAGGAAAAAGTGACCAGTGAAGACTGTACCAATGGGGCATGCAGCCGGGTCAGAGCGAATAGAATAACAAAAAGAGAGCAAAAAAATGATCAACTCCGTTTTCCTCAAAAGCATCATTCTTCCGGACCTACTTTTTCACATCAAGCAAAAATACGGAAACCTGAGAAAATTAACCTCACCCTTCATTTATGTATAGAACGGAAAGAAAATACTAATTTGGAAAATCCTCTAACTGTTGTAAGTGCATTTTTAAAAAATGAAATTATGTCATCGCGTCAGAAAACTGTACAGAATAGCGACCCTCGTTTATATATTCATAGGATGGTGCAAAATAAATGTCATTTTATTCATGGAGCAAAAGGGAAAGGTTTGTTCTTAAAAGAGTTTCCACCATTTAGGGGGATGTTACACATAATAATTACTCATAAAAGGACGTCTCTTGTTTTTTATTTAATCGTTGGAGAGATCTTCTTCTTCGTCTGTTGCCTTCTGAATACGTCTCTTGCTCAAGTGAATGGTTCGACTACTTTATTTTTTGAAATTTATTTACCTTTCGGAAATGTGTATACAATTAGGCATTCGCATGGTCTATTTAGCTACTTAGCACATACGTGGGAATCGGGACTGTCTGTTTTTTCCTCTAAGGTGTGTTGGTTGGGGGGGGATCCAGGAAGAGGCAAAGACCTCTCTTCAGTAGGAACCGACAAGAGGGAGAAAAACGGAAAATGCGAAAAAAATGACGACGTAAACAATCCCAACCGAGCGAGGCAAAGAGACAAACGAGCCCGCACAAAATTGCGATTCACCAAAAGTAGCACTAACCACCTTGGTGATGAACCCCAGGAGGAATATTCAAAGCACCCCGATAAAACCCACAAAGTTAACATAAACGCAGGTACAAAAAAAAGACGTGCATCAGTTAACAGGTTGGTAGATAGAACTGGTTCCAGGGAAAAGTCTTCCACAAATCGGAGCCAGGACGAAACGCGCATGAGCCAAAATGGGGCCAAGCCGAATAGCCCCCGTCGCACGTGCGGCAACCACAAGGGGGATGACCAAAATGAGGAAAACGAAAAAGAAAACGACAACGATAATTACAACAAGGAGGAAACTGGCAGCAGAAGAAGCGGAAACAGAAATGGTGATAAGCGCAGCGGAAGAAGCAACGGGGATAGGCACAACAACGACGACAACAACAATAACGATAGCGACGATGATGGCGATGAGGATGGAGGTGAGGATGGGGGTGAGGATGGGGAAGACGATAAGGAGGAAGACGAAAATGACGAGGAAAATGATGAAGATGATAAGAAGAAGGCCGAAGGTGGTAAGCCAAATGGTCAGGGCGGGAAACAGGAGGCCGGCCCATCTGACGTTATCGCTGAAGAGAGTGACGAACAAAAGGGCGAGCCCAACGATACAGACGATGCATGTGGGAAGGCAAAGGGAAAGGAGATAAAATCGGAAGCAGATGATGTTAAAAATGGTGCTACAGATATGCAGAGAGATTCAAATCAAGGAGACGGAAACGGTAATAAAGAAGATGGTGAAGGAGTCAAGGTCGACTCAGTGGACGAAGACAAGGACAAGTTAGCTGGTCAAAGTAGTGCAGGGGAGAATCGGCCGAATATCAACATGGCTGATACTGCTGCGCAAAGGAGCAGCGAAGCGAAGAGGGCAAATAACGAGGAAAACCAAAATAACATCAAAAAGAACATCAATGCGGAAGAAAGTAACTCCGAAGGGGATCGCAGTGGTGGAATGGAATCCCACATCAGAAGCAACTGCAGGAGCAGCAGTGGATGCAGCGATCAACGGAATGACCAAACCGGGAAAGACGAAAGGGATGAAAAGAACCTCCGAATCATGAACAAGATGCTGAAAAACCTTTCGTTCATGTCATTCAACACGGGTTTGCTTGAATACAAAATATGCGGTGTGTGCATCTACCAGAACCCACCATTTATTTCCAACCGATTGCTTCACATTCCCTTTGCTTTAAAAAGAACCAATGCAGACATTATAGCGTTGCAGGAAGTATATGATGAGAAACACGTGGAGTATTTAAAGAACCACCTGATGCCCAAGTATCCATTCTATGCGAGGGACAATTATTGCAGTGACGTCTTTAAGGAAAAATTTAGCGACGTGAATGTCGCAAGGGAGGACGGATTCCGTGAGGGTAGTCGTCAGGATGGCAGAGACGGCCTATGTGGTAGAAATGGTCCAAGTGAAAGAAGCATCCCATGTGGTAAAAACGGCCCAAGTGGTAAAGACTGCCCAAGTGGTAAAGACAGTCCAAGTGACAGAACAGCTAACAGTTACGAAAATAGCAAGCGAACCGGAACAAGCGCCAACAACCCGAACGGAGGAAACAAAAAGGAACCGCGTTGCAGAAAAAAGAAATATTTTGCTCTTCACCACGGATTACTTGTATTTAGTAAGTACCCCATTATCTACTCCTTTTTTCACGGATTCAAACACGTAACTTATCTGGAACATATATTCGGGACAAAAGGATTCCTAGAAGTCGTCATTGACGTCCCTTTTTTTAGTTACATTACTTTGGTCAATATGCATCTAGCTAGCGGTGCCGCAGACACAGAATCTAAATATATCGAACGAGTTCGAGACTTCGAAATTAAGCAAATTATGGAAATAGCTAGAAATGCTGAGAAAAGAAATACCATCCCAATAATTATTGGAGATCTCAATGCTGCTCCCAATTTGTGTCCAAATAATTATTCCTCCTTCATTAAAAGGGGGTGGAAAGACGCTTGGCTCTATGCTAGGAATGTCAAAAAGAAGAAAACCAAACAACTCATAGGGAAGGCATTACCACGCTTGCAGAAAAAAAAGACGCGTACAATTTCTCCCAACAGTTGCCACTCTTTCAGTCATTTATTCCCCAGGGTTGCTGGCACTTCTGAGGACGTGGTCAACAGGGAGGCCAAAAAGGCAGAAAGGGAAGGAAGAAAAGAAACGGTAGAAAGAAGAGAAAGAGAAGTAAGGGAAGAAACGGAAGAACATCACCCCAGTCGTAATGACCAAGAGGGAGTCAAAAATAAACATAAAGGAAATCCACTCAGCGGCATAACCAATAACGATAACGCTTACAGTAACCATTCGGTGAATGCAAATAAAAGTATCTACTTTGAGAGACCATCCTTGGATAATAAAGTGCACACAAAAAATGATGAACTAGGTAGCAGAAGTTCCATGCGCGTTTTCCCCAGTTTTAACAGATCGGAAAATAACGACAGTATAGTTTACTCCAACTCAGGGAAAACTCTCTCTACCTTTTGCAACATTTTAGAATCTTATGATAGTATGTATCATAATGAGGCGTACACGGAGGAAAGGAAGAAATGGAATGTGGGTGACAACTCCGTAGAATTCCACGCATCGGTTTGTTTAAGCAGAGCCAATTTCAAGAATGACGCAAGCGAAATGGACAAAATGAATAGTGCACTAAATAATGGTGCGTTAAATAAACGCAGGCAATCTAGGAATTGCCTGCAAAGCAGATACTCCGAATGTGTTTCCCATGCGATGACTGCGCGTAGTGGGAGACGTGCAGTGACGGGCGTGCCCTCTAAGATGTTCCTCATTCGTAGTAAGAAAGTCACAGAAACGGTTTCAAAGACGATCTGGAGAAGAAAAGGAAATTTCCTTCCAGAAAGTTACAAGAGAGTGAAGCGTCATCATAGAAAAGGGTGCACCAGAAAATGTCACAAAAAAGAGCATCTTCCCCACGTCAAGCGGATTCCATCCAGTCGCAAAAACCAGGCACTTAAACTAGTTGACAATATGAGCCCGTCACAAAGGGGAAACATTCCTCACTGTACCATTATCCCCAATTCGAGCACTGCCAATGGGAAAGATAACCCTTCAGATGTAATTCCAGAGCGAAAGGGGGAAACACAGCTGCACACTGACGAAATGCATTATGGACAGATGTCCCCCCTGAGTACTAGGGCAGATCATGTGGTAGATCATCAAAAAGGAGACCACGATCTGTTAGAAAGTATCCTCCACGTGAGCAAAACACAAGATGACCTTTTTAACCCTCCCACGGGGGAGGAAAATGGCCCCAACTGCTGCGCAGATAAGAGAGACAAAGGAGAGAAAAAGGAAAGACAAAGGAATGTGCAAAGTTGCTCCACCGGTGATGTGTTCATAAAGGAAGATAAAATCGGCAGTAGCATTGTAACACAGAAATGCACTCTACGTAGCAAGATCGATGGAGACAAATTGAAGATCCACAGGGAGGAAGACGAATACCATGCCGCAACAAATTTACACCACCATTATAACAGCGACCATAATTTATTCTCCAGTGACATATCAAGTGAGAGCAACCACTCGTATACGGATCTGTATGATGATGAGGAAGAGGCCAACTGGTTCAGTGACCGAAGTTCCAATGTGTCAAGGAATGACCTACATGATAGAACCGAAGTGGCTGTTCCACTCGAGGCGGAGCCCAGTGGGATGATCTACTGCATGAAAGAAGAGGGATTCACAAATGGAGACACTACGGAAAAGGCACCAGAGACAATAAAAGAACTTGACACTTCGGGAAGTAACCAATTGACTGATAAAAAGTGCGCAAACGGAGAAGACAAAATTATGACACACTGTATATCATCTCCAGAAATGGGAGAATACTGCAGAGGAGAGGAAAACACTCCCCAGTTTCATCCTAAAGAAACTGCCCAGGTAGGTATGTCCAATGAGAAGGGTGATGACAACACCTCCACCCATGCTCAAATGCAAAGAGAAGAAGACTCCAAGCTGAGTGTCACAACCACTTTCTATAAAAATCAGTTAAGTGGTCATAAAGAAAAAGTACGAAATGTGCATGATAACTGTGAAGACAAATTGAAGATAGAAAATCTTTGTAGCGCTTTCTTGAACGAAGAATTGGCGAGGGGGAGGGAGACCCACAAGGAACCCCCACTGCTGAGTGAAGTAGGCACAAGAAGGGACGGCAATGACTGGAATGTTACATATGCTATCGGAAAGAACGATGCAAAGGGAAACAGCTGCAACGATCAGATGGAAAGCCCACCATACACAAGTACCCAACCCGCTGAAGAAAACGCCAATATCAATACGAACGAAAAGAAGAAAAAGATTAGTAAGCTAGCCAAGAAAATAAAACAAATGAAAAAGAAACTCTTTTATAACATTCTGAGGAATTATGAGAAGAACCATGATGGCGGGGTTAAAAAAAGGACGCCCCTGAAGGGCAAACAAGGTGAGCCGCAGATGGCGAAGCATGAGAGAGAAGAAGGCAACTTATTTACTCTAGAAGACGTCAAGCAAAAGGCCGAAAGAAACCATCATATCATTGCTTCCCTCAATGAAAGGGAGCGCACCGTGAAGGAATCCAACTGCAAAGGAGAAGTAATCCCAGCGGAAGATCACTCACTCAGAATTGACGTATCCGAGGCACTAAAAAACCAAGTAACAAATGAGAAAGGGAAAAATAAGAGCAGCAAGTTCCTGCACTTCACCAAAAAATGGTACAACAGTAGAACCCAAGAAACTCTCAAAAAAGACATCTTCTATTTCATTAAGAAGTTAAAATTTAAAGCGACAAACAAATTAAAGCAGAAGTTTTGTATATGCGCAAAGAATGTAAAGGACAATCTAAGTGAAGGAAAGAAACTTGTGCTAATGGAGAAGGAACAGAAAGGTGAACTTCAACAGTTTCACAACAAATGCCCCTTCGTCCAGAATAATTCGGACCTCCCAAGGTCCTTCAGTAGCATAAAACTGGCAGACGATTTTATAAAAATGTGTGAGTGTACTCCCATGTCTAAAAAGGAAAAGAACCAAAGGGGTAGAAATTATAATCAAGGAGACGCACGAACTAAGGAGGGTCCAGAAAATTCCCCAAAGAGCAAAAAATATTTCATTTTTAAAAGAAGGCAGAAAGAGGAGAAGGATAGAAATCACATAGTGGAGAATATGAGTGAAGGCAGGATCCTCCTCGATGACCATAACTGTGTGAGTCCCAATCGAAATGCGTCTAAAAATAAAAAATGTACACATGGGGGCAGCCCGGTAGGCGGCGGAGAACCCAACCAGGGACAGTTGCACAACAAAATGAACCTTAATATGAAAAATAAAAGCTTTCTTAATTTGACAAGCGAAGAAAACATTTCTAGTGACGAATATACGTGGGATCCCCTAAACCCGCTGAATGTCCTCGGGCCCCATTCCAGATGTAACGGACTGAGATGCGATTATATTTTCTTTCCTCCCATCAGTTACAACAACGGAAAGGGTGCAAAGGGGGGAAAGAACGTCACGGCTGAAAAAGGGAATGTTGACCAAAAGGGCAAGCCAAGTGCAGCAGAAAAGACGGATGAGGCATACAAAATGGGTGCCATTAAATCCCAGCCATGTGTAGACAGAACTAAAATGCCTAACGATGAACAACTCGTGATGGGTCGCGAAAAAGCCCAAGAGGGATCAAACATGCCCTTTGATCCAGTTGGTGCCAATCGCGAAACTCAGAAGTGCTCCAATTCCGTTTGGAACACGCAGAATTATGTCTTAACCCAGACACACAACAAGAGGGGCAGAAAGGATGACCACCAGGCGAAGGGGAAGAGATACGAAGAAGCTCTCGATCTAAAAAAATATAACGACCTCAAAATTTTGAAGCATTACTATATTAAGAGTGCCAAGATACTTTTTAACGAACCCTCCGTCATGGTCCACACGTACAAGAGTTCCAAAAACTTCAATTGCTGCTATTCCTTTTGTATGAAAATAAAGAATGTCCATTTCGTGACAATGTCTGACCATTATGCTATTAAGATAGATTTGAGACTAAAAAAGAATCACAAGTTTGTTCGGAACAGCTAGAGGGGGGTGATATATGTCATGGCATCTTCTCGGCTAGCTACCACTCTTCTTTGTAGAGGCATTGACATGAGCAGCGGCGCTGAGGCGCTTGACGTTTACCCTTTCGTGAGAATGTTTTTTATGCTATGATATGGTAGATTTAGTGTTGATGTCGACATTGATGTCTTTTTTTTTTTTTTCTTCTATTTATAGCTCTCCCCCCTTTATGTGTCTCTACCCCTGTAACTCAATCCCGTCGTAGGTGGGGTGCCTTCTTTCCCAAATGCGCTTAATTAAATTTAATTTATACATCATTAATTCGCCTCATTTCGCGCCTCTTATTACTCCATCATCTTCACTTATTTTTATTTTATTTTTTTCTTGTCTACTCCCATTTTCAATACGTGCTGCGTAGCTTCATTGATGCTGCTTTCCGGGTGACCATCCAACCTGTCAGTTGGTTCAAATTAAATATTATTAAGTTTGCAAGTTGTGCTTTTTTTTTTTTTTTAAGTGCCTTTTAATACATTCCTTTTTGTACAGTTCAGTTTACACTACCATGTACGTTATGTGCATATGTGAGCACCGCTCAAGCACGCTTGTGTCTTTGACTGTGTTTTTCTGCATGTGCGCCAACTCTCGTAACTCCCTATATTTCACACCTATGTGGATATGTTATTTTAAATTATTTGAGTCATTCGCTTATAAATGGTTTAAAAAAAATAAAAATTAGATCTCAAAGTTGACAAAATTGTTAATTAGAGAAAAAAAAAAAAAGGACAAAAAGGAGAAAACAAAATGCACAAGGAACTGCCCAATCGACGCCTTCAAATTTGTGAATCAAACATTTGGAGTAAACGGGTGTGCAAGGGGGGTTAAAAGCTGACAAATGGTGGGCGTCATGAATTGTCGCTTTCCCAACCGCGTGGGGCAGCACAATCGTAGACATAAGCACATGGACAAGGGCAAATATGCTCGCGCGGCTTGGCGATGTCGAAATTCTGTGCCCAGAATTTACGCCAATTAGTGAACGCCAAAGGGATCCACATTTTTCACACTTAAAAAAAAAAGAGGAAGAAAAAAAGAAAAAGTAAACTAAACCGATGCTGAAGGAACATGTAAATGTCATGGACAATTGGGGTGGAAATGCAAAAAGACACACCCTGTACGGATATTTCTCGACGGATTACCACACGGGGTAATTTTCTCTGACTTTACAGGAGAAGCGTTCAAAAGAGATTCGTAAGGGGCAAAGACATGTGGAAAACAGGTAAAAACATGTGGCAAACACGGACCGACCCAAGCCACATGAACAACCAAATGCCACCTTATCGCAACCCATACGACACAGAACAGATCCTCTTATATCATGCCAAGCGCAAGGTCCACACCTGCGATCCGGGGACAATCAAAATTTCCTTCTTCTGAAACCTGCTTATCGTTTCATACTGCTCCGTAGGCCCCTCTTCAACACACCCCGTCTTTCCTCCATCTTCATTTGATGCTTTATCCCTTTCGATTTTTTCTCCACCGAAAGGAGCAGGGTTTTCCATCAGACCAACACCTCGTTTATTATGTTCATCGGTGGAAAAACTCTCATGGTGCAGACCTCCTCTGGGACTCCCTCTTGATTTTTCTTCTTCAACCCGCTTGAAGAAAACGTCATGGATATACAGAACGTCATAAATTTTTTGAAAGGCCTCTTTCTCATCAAGTTTTAGTACTTGGTAATTAACGATAAATTGAGAATTTTTTATTTTTTTGAGGATATTTGGGATTTGCAGAGTTGTTCTGTTTTGAACGGCGTGCTCCTCTGATTGCCTTTCCGCTGTCTGCTCTTCCTCTTTCGCGGCCCCCTCCAGAGGCCCAGCGCTGCGAGCCTCATTCATGGCAGTCGCATCTCCGCCCACCCTGTACAGCACCCCTGTTGATAAATCAAATACAAAGGTACTTTCTTCATATGATACAGAAATAAATTCGAACGTCAGATTTAGCAAGCTGTCACTGATTGACTTCTCTGTTTCTAACAAGGGCACATAAAAGACGATTGCATTTTTCAATTTGCCATTCTCAATTGGGCTTTTTTTAAATTTACACTTGGCGTTTTCTTCTCTATTGTGATTGGCGGTGTTCATTTCGTCACTGGCCTCAATTATGAGCTTCAGGCGGTCAGTGATCAAAGTGCTCTTTTCCACTGGGTAGCTGCTAATAGGGTTACTTCCCTTGGATGAGTCCAACACGTAGGATGTGTACGTGTAGGTCTTCGCCGTATACTCCTCATCAGGGTCGTCCATTACATCCACATCAATATAATTTTTAAATAGTATATTCAGGCATATGCTCTCTTTTGCGATTTTCGTTATGACGATTTCTTGAATGTAGGCTTCCGTTGGGAAGCATATAAGGCCATCCCTCATGTAGAAGTACTTCTTAATAGGTTCACGGGATTCGTCCAGTTCACTTTCTTTGTCGATAAGGTGATCCGTTTCTTTCCTCTGGGGCTTGTTCACTGGGTGCTTCTTCTTTTCAAAGGGGGACATGCCCTGTGAGCTGTTATCATGGGGGGTCCTTCCCTCCTCTGAGTGAAGCACACATAGTGACACATCTTTCGAACTGAGATTGCCTCCATCTCTGGCAGCCGCGTTACGCGCATTCCCCACCACTCGCTTCTCCCCTTTGTAGGCTTCGTTCAAATATAAGAGATATCGATTAAGGAGGACATTCTTCAAATGAATCTGAGCCTCGTCCGTTTTTTTTTTCTGAAAATTGCATTGGTCGCAAATTCTCTTCAAGTCCTCGTAGCTGTAAGTTAACCCCTTCTCGTCGTCTTCCACGATAGTACCTAAAATTCTGTGTGTAATAATATCGATATATCTCCTTATGGGGGAGGTGAAATGAATATATTTGTTCAGTGCTAAGCCAAAGTGATGCGTCTTCTTCTCCCCTTCTGTGTAGGGGATGTATATGGCCTCCTTGTAGTGTTTCAAAATGTTGTACTGCATGCACATCAGCTGATTAGTGTCCAAAATTTCTTCGCAAACGTTTAAAATGTCGTTAATGCTGCTTCTTTTTACGTCAATCAGGCCATCAATTCGACTGTACGTGTTATGGTCAATAATGTGAAGGAGATTATTCTTTATCTCGTCGGAGGTATTTTCATGTATCCTCAGGATTCCCAATTTTTTACTTTGGCTAATTTTATTGGCTATTAAAAAATTTGTTAATATCATCATTTCTTCTATTAGCATGTGGCTCTTTGCTTTGTATTCGACTTTCTCCACGCTAATATTTTCCACGTCCATTTCGTCCAGAAGGGCTTGCACGTTCTTCTTCTTCAAGAAGGCCTGCAAGCGCTCGTTAACAGCATCACCGTTAAAGTGGCTACTAATCATGCCACTAAGATTGTCTCCTCCCTCTGGATAAAACTTCTCCAGTTCTTCCACCCCGATAGGCACCTCTCTATCGCGCGCACAGGACCCACTCGTGTCTGCTTCATTAAACAAAAATAACAAGGACGGCTTGGAGTTGACGCTCTTCCGTCCAGTCTTCTCCTTCAGCATTTTGGACAACAAGAATAATCGAAAGATGTCGCTTCCCAACTTGGCACTCAGACCATACCTCTCGCACGTTGCTTCAAAATTTACAATAAAGGGGAAACAGCTTAATGGGAGATTCCCCCTCACTAAAATATCTTCTTCCTTTTCCTTTATATTGTTATTGCTCTCGTGAAGGCTGCCGTACACATCGTCCAGGAAATCCTCAACGGTATCGTAGTTCAGTTTGTGCTTGCTTTTGATTAGGCTCTTCATAATTTCTATACCATTTTCATTCCTTGCGCTTTTTTCACTTCTGCCCATTTTGTCTCTTTCTTCGTTTTTCACATTTTCGTCACTTTCTACGATCTCCCCCTTCACAACGTCGTACGGATTCGCCCGACTGCTCAGGCGGAAAAAGACCGAAAACGACAGCTTCTCGCCCTGGGTGTTCAGGGAACAAATTTCTTCACTCAAAATGGAGGGGAGCATGTGGATGACCCTGCAAAGTGGCGGGACGAAAAAAAAGTGAAAAGCGAATTCGAACAGGTGAAAAGAAGACACTGGGGGTGAGAAGCGTTGCGAAGATAGGCACACAGGACGAATCGTACACCCCTCTGAGCGCCTTACATTAGGTCCATATATATCGTGTTACACACTTTGGAAGCCACCCTGTCGTAGTACGAGTCGGGGGTCACGAAGAAGGAGACGTCAGAAATGTGCACCCCTATTCTGTACTCAAAAGCATTTGCAGCATTCGTGTCGCTTCCGACAAATTCGATGGACAGAGCGTCATCCAGATCCTTTGCACTCGGAGGGTCTATGGTAAATATATCCAGGTTGGTAATAATTTCCCTATTTTTAAGGAAGCTTTTTAACATGTACTTTTCGATACGCTTATTATTTTCTTGGATGTTTTTCAAGTAGGCCATTTTTAGCCGGTGCTCGAGGATAGTAGGGGAGTCTCTTCCTCGGTGTATTATTGCCCCGGATACTGCTTCGCCTGATGCTGCTCCCCCTGATGTTGCTTCCCCCTTTCCATCGCTTGTCTCACCTTGGACTGCCGACGCACCACACTGGCGGTTGGCCAAAGCTGCGAGGACTTTGTCGTTCACCTCCATTTTGTTCTTCAAATAAGACATATCGCTCCTCTCATAAATGTGAAAATGTATTTTGTAAAAATGGATAAAAAAATAAATGACTCCCAAAAAGTTTTTTTCATTTCCTAAAATGGTAGTGATGCTTCCAGATGGATTGATCTGGTGTGTGTCCCATTTTTTAAACTTCACCAGGACGTACAAATTTATTTTCTTTCTCTTGAAATAGTGCAACAATCTGTTTAACATGCAACTGGAGCCGTCGTATATGAAGCAGGGTAATCTAGGGTCAATGGGCTGTACCTTGGCACACAGGGGGGTGTTTTCTCTATGGCCTTTTTTGAGTGTCTTCCTAGGCGGGGGTTCTTCATCCTTGGGGTCATACTCCATGTTACTTCCTTCCCTGTTGGGCGTTTTTGCATTGGGAGGATTGCTCATAAATTTTTCACTTCTCAACTGTGGTGCGTCCTTCCTGACAAAGGTGTTGTTTATGCTTTTGCTGATATTTAAATAATTCAAGGTGCACACAATTGGGGCATTCCTCCGTTCAACGATGTTAACAACTCTGCAAAAATGTTCCTTTTTTTCTTCCTCCTTTTCGCTCACCGAGATGGTACCCTCTTGACTCGCTTCGAGAATCTCCTCCTCATTTTCTAAATGTCCAGATCGTTTGATTTTCCTTCGAGCCGTATAGGCATACACTACATCCTCGTTCAGTGCTCTGTTGCGGCTAATATAGCCATAAATGGTAAAAGCGTCCTTTTTCAAAAAATGCAAGGGATCTTCTTCACTGACCACAACACACTTGCTCGTATCATAAGGGGATACACATAATACTCCTTTGAATAATTTATTCTTTAAATTTTTCTCCCCATTTTTTTGTAGCTGTAAAACTTTTTGTATCTTTTCGCTATCCCAATATTGTTCATATTCCACATCGATGTAATTTTTATTCGCTACTTCGGCATCTGCTTGGGATTGTCCCTTCACATTTTTTGCCTTCTCCGATTTGGAGTCAAAAGGAATGTTCTCTTTATTATCTTTTCCATTTGTTGAATCTTTGAGTAACTTATTTTTATCATTATAGGGGAGGTAGAGCAGCTGTTTATTTGTATGGTTTCCATTTCCACTGAAAGAGCTTTTACTTTTAAGGTTTCCATTTCCCCATTCGTTTTTAACAACTCTTTTTATTTCCATCCCTTCTTCTGTTCTGTTTGGCATGGCGTCCAGTGAATCTCCTTCTCGATAGTGATGAGCCATTGTCCCTTCGGGTCCTCCCTCCTTTTTTTCCCCCTTGGATTTATATCCCCTGGATCGCAAGGGGAGATTTGTCAGAACTGCACTCCACTTTGCGGGTGAACCTTTCCCTTGCCGATCTCTACCGTCTTTACCGTGCCGACTTACATGACCGTCCTTAACCTTCAAATACACATCCTTACGTTTTAAATAGTTATTTTTCACCTTCAGATATTTCTCCCCCTTGATGCTTTTGCCTTTCCCACTTTGAATGCCCCGTTGGAGGGTTAATGGTGGCGCTACTTTTTCTTTCCAAATTGTGTCTCCCCTTTGGTGCCATTTCTCCGATATTCCCGTTTTGTCTTCACTTGTGGTTGCACCAAATCTGGGGTGCCTTTTCCTGGGCACGTCTTTTCCACTTCCCTCCTGCGTGTGCTCCTCCAAGGGGGCGCCTTCTCCTGCATCTTCTTCTGCCTCTCCTCTGTCAAGAAAGTCATCTGACGAACCCTCCTCATAGTTTCCCAACTTAACATTCTTCTGTTTTATTTTTTGATACACATGTCTGTAAAACTGTTTACTTTTATCCTTCTTGATGTCCTTCAAGGAGGGACTGCACTCTTTCTTCTGTTCCTTCCCCGCGGCACATGACTGTTCTGGCTCAGTTGTCCGAAACTTCGAACCTCCCCCTTGATCAGCGGGGGAACCCCTCCCCTCCAATTTCACACGCTTCACAATATTTATATTTTCATATATTTTGGTGTAAAAACAACATCTTCTAGCATTTTTAAAAAAAAACATGTTCTACTTTTTGTCTCTTTTACACTGCCGTCTCGTATAAGTAATATCATTTTGTTTGGCATGTAGATACATGTAGAAGCACACGGGGTGTTGGGTCGAGTTGTTGCCTTCTTCGGGGATCTTGCCGCTGGAGTCCACAGTGGGAGGCGCACAATTTCACTTGGTAAACGCGCGAGGATTCCTTTCAAAACGGCAACGGTACAACCCAGAGTAATCTCCCCAAACTTGTCAAACTGTTCCCTTCTCGTCGTGGTGAAAAGGCGCGTTTTAATAATACTCCCTTTACAATTCCACTACTCCCGCGGCGCAGTGCTTACAAATGCACATAAAAGGAACCACGCCTGGGAAAAACTAAACAAGAAAAAGTGAAAACGGCAGGGAAATAGAAAAGGCACTTCTGTTGTTCCTTCATTAAAATGTTGCTTATTCCTTTTCTTGTGCCATTTTCCAGAAAACATCACTTTTTGAGGACTTTTAAAAATGGTTTATTTTTTGTTTGTTTGGCTATCCTCCTAGGGCTACCCGTTTCTTTTTTTTTTTCTTTTGGCAATATATGCATGATATTGGTGAGTTCCTTTGTCCTCTCCCCTTCCACAACATAGTACAACGCTTTATGCATTAGTTTGTGAAAATTCTTCCTCTTGTACGAGGGTGATTTGAACACAATCTCCGCAATGCAGTCAACTCGCATAAAAATACAAGTGTACATTTTGGGATGTTCTTTTTTTTTTTTTTTTTCTGCCCATGTGTTGCATGCATAAAGGCACATATGGTGATCCTCCCAAGTTAAGCGAGCGTTGTGCATTTTTGTCAATAAACAAAGGAAATGCACATAATTGGCGTGTCAAATGTTGACATAATCTTCTTCTTAGCACAGACGATTGCATGTAAAAAGAAAGAAAGAAAAAATTCCCTGGGTGATAGATTTTACATGTTTGTTTTGTCACACTTGTATTTTTCCCCCTCCCCCTCTACTAGGCAAACTTTCAGTGGCTTCTCTTTTTTTCTTTTCATTTTTCTTTTTTTTTTTTTTTTTTATCGTCCACCGTGCTGCCGTTTTTTTTATGTATTCCTGAAATTGGGGTACCCGCAAGTGCACAGCCCACACAGCTATCCGTACCTTTTAAAAGTAAACGATGGGTAACAAGATTTCCACGGAGGATCACATCTTTCGATTAAAATTAAAAACAAAGGAACTAGTAAACAGAGAAAACATACATACATACGCATCCTTGCGTACATTTAGGTGTATGATATGTCCCCTGGGAGAAGGGACACAGTTGGTTTTCCTACACCGCGCTTTTTTTTCCCACTGTGTCATCACCACCACTGCTTTCCCCCCCAAATGCCAACGCTTTTAGGAAAAATTATCAAACAGGTCAGAATTAGAAGAGAAAAAGCTCATAACCGATGTCAAAAAGGCCATACAGGCAGGGAAGATCGACATAGCAAGGTCGGTCAGATTATGAAATGTGTGCCGCATGCATTTGCACACGTTGTGATAAACGCATATACCTTTTAATTACACCAAATGGGAAAATCACTAATTCTGATGGCAGTATGGCACCCTTTCTATTGTGTCTTTTTTGTTTTAAGCACTTTTTTTTTGTGAGGTGCCTTCCCATTGTATCCTACTGTGTTGTAATCCACCGTGTCGCCACTTCCCCCCGTCTCGACAGGCTATACGCAGAAAAATGCATAAGAAAGAAAAACGAAAAAATTAACTACCTCAATTTGAGTAACAAATTGGATGTCCTTGTGTCCAGGCTCGAGGGGGCCCACAGATGCGCGTCGGTTAGTTTGCAGTTAATGTTAGGAAGCGGGCGAAAAGAAGGCAGCCCACGCGGAATTTATGCCTTCCGTCCGAACATGGGAAGAGACGGATAATCCGTCATAATGACACATATAGGCATCTCAACATGAACATAGATGTGAACATATATATGCATGCCCGTGTGCGCACGCGCCTCGCCCGAATCCACCCTTTGCAGCTAGTTAAAGACGTAAGCATGATGATCCCGCTGATACAGAAGATAAACACCGAGACCAACGCCGTCAAAATTGGGAATGACGTCATGAAGCTGGAAAACATCTTTGACGAAATTGTACGTTTTGCAGGATTAGGAAAAGCGAGTCACGTAACCCCTCAGTGGGTTCATATGTCCACACGCGCGTAGCTCCGTGGGCGTTCTCCCAAAACGCACGTGTATATTTATATATATATATAATATATATAGATATATAAACTCTCACTGTTTCTTCCCCCCCGCAGAGCATCAGCTCGGATCTCATAAACGACACTGTTCAAACGTCCTCTGCGATCAGCGCCCCCACGGAGGAGGTAAAAAAGGACGTTTCAAATATGGGAAGGAAAGCAGATCATTTCACTGGTTGGTTATGTTAAACATTTTTTTTTTTCTTCTTCTTTCCCCCGTTTGTGCACACAGGTTGACGAATTGATTTCCAAAATAGCAGATGAGCATGCCATAAAGCTGGATGGACAGCTGGGCCCCGTAAATTCGATTAATAAGGTAAAACAAAATTTTTTATCCTTTGTAAAAGGAAAAGCAAGAGGGACATAATAGGCACAACGCAATGCATGATGGGCACACACACACAGAACTGTACAGCGTTATGTACACATATGTGAAGATGTAGAAAGTTCTCTGAAAAAAATTTTTGGCATAAAATGGTGCCATGCGTTGTGCATCCCTAATTAATCCAGTGCTTATATGTGATCATTGTTTGGTATGCAAAAAATGATGTTAAATTCCAACCCCCCCTTTTTTTTTTTTTTTTTGTAGCATTTGGAGGAAATTTCTAACATGAGCGAACGGATAAAAAACTTAAAATGACAAAAAGGAAAAAAGAAATGAGAAAAATTATAATGGAGGTTCATTTTGGTCATTTCCAACGGGCCCCCCTCCCCCTCCGCGTTGACATGAACACATCTGTGAAAACATACGGATGTATATGTATTTATATTTGCATGTGTCACTGCGCCTCTTAGTATAATTTTTATTTTTTAAGAATATTTAAAAGACCCAAAACCCCCTGATCCTCTCCCATATTTGTTTTTGTTCCGCGAAAGGGAAAAGAGTACCCACGAAAATACATAGGTACATGTGGACGCAGTTGCTCACACCTCATGTTTCCAAGTAAATCCTCCATTCGACAACATTTGGTTTAGTGTAAAAAGCACATAGAAATTTATATACCCACCATAGGGCTCTTAACATTTTAGCCGTTCTTTTTTCTCCACAATTTGGTTTTAGTCATACGTAAAAGGGGGCACCCCTGCGGAAAGAACTGTACAGCCATTTTTTTCTGGGTAGTGAAAGGAGGAAAAAAAAAAAAACTCACACACTTTCGAAGATGACATTTTGTTTTCACCTCAAAAGGGGGTAAATCATAAACACATATTTCGAATTCTCAATTCATATTGTACACAAAAAAAAAAGAAAAAAGCATAAAACCGGGGAAATTACAAAAAAAAAACAGGGAAAAAATAAAACATAATTTATGACAATACAGTGTACTATAATACAGTGCTGGAGAAACTCGGGGAAATATAACAGGAAATATTTTTCCAAAAATGGAAAAAAAAGGGAAAGGGAAAGCACAAATTGGGATTAACGTTATGATTGATAAGGTTAACGATATGATTAAGGCTAGGTGGATGTTAAAAGTCCAGCCAAGATTACGTCAAGCGTGCGAAACAGGACCAACCAGGCGCATTCCTACGCTCGCCCTACCTACAAAACAACACATCACACATGTGTGCAGGAAACTAAGCTGTCCAGAAAATTCTTTGTCAAGGTGAATAACAGACCTTCGTCAGCGGTGCTAAATGAGATGTCTTCTCCGCCTACAAAATAATCGTTCGAGCCGATGTTTATGTAAAGACTCCTGTGGGCGTAATTTTCCTCTCCACGTAAATTTTTCTTTTTTTCATTACTAGCCAAATCCTTCGCATAACTATCAAATAAAATTTTCGCATAGACAAAAAAAGGTTCCTCCCCTTCTTCCCCTTCCTTCCCCTTTGCATTACAACTGTTATTTTCATAAATTGTGCGCAATTTTTTGCAAACCATGTCGAATTTTTTTTTGCTAATTTTGGTGCACCTGAGCACGTAGGATGATTTATCCGTGACGTCATTCTGGACGTAAAACTTGTACCCTTTGTTATCCTTAAAAATAAGTTCGAGCAGATTTCTCTGTTGATCATTTTTAAGAAAAAAATTTTTTAAACATTCCAAGTAGGTTTTATTTTTCAATAAAAAATTATTGTTTCCAAAAATGAAGGTAATGTTTGTCTGTTGACATTTTCTGTTCATTCTATTTTCCAACAGCATGTCTGAGTTGTGGCACACGTTGAATAGCCTTTTCAAATACGAATTAAACTTATTTGTGTAATTGTGTACATTTAAAAGTTCCTCAGTGGATATGTCTTCTGTCGCGCGTTTAGCCGCTCTGTTCTTCATAATCAAAGAGACGACAGTCACATTTTTTAAGTCCTTTTTGCTTGACGCGTAATTGTACAGAAAATGGTGCAGGTCTTCTTTTTCAAGTTCGTCCATTTGGTAAAGGGAGCATTCATCGTTCATGTCCCTTGTGCATATGTAAAATTTCTTCTCTTCCTTATCGTACACGTAGAATATGAAATACGCGTAGGAGCAGAGGATGTAGTTCTGGTTCATGAAGGGCTCCGCGGTGGATCCTGCGGTGGGTCTTGAGGCTGGAATTCTTCCGGAGCTTCCAGAAGTGCTTCTCGAAATGGAGGTAGGCGGAGCACTGGGCGAAGCCGTTACGTTCCCCATCCCTCCCATCGGCGCAGACTGGCCATTCTTGTAAAACACAACGCGCTTGTCCACTCTGTAGGCGGCGACCACCAAATAGTTGCCCCTCTGCACGCCATCCCCGGGCAGCAAATTGTCCAAAGGGGGAATCCTATTCAAACGAGCCATTTTCTTCAAGTCCACCTCTTTTATGTGCTCGAAACCGATAATGTGATAATACGAATATCCAGTGAACAGATTTTTAGCATACCCAGTAACAAACCAGAGACTCTCCTCCTCATTTAAATCTTTTATCTTATCGATCATGGTTTTTTCTCTTCTGAAAAAATTCATTATCCGGTTTTTTAGACCGCCTAATTGTTCCTTCATGTAAGAACCATCATTTTGTAACGTGCAAATATTTGTGGGTGCATTTTTTTTCACATTTTGGGGGCCACTACTCTCCTTTTTATTTTTCCCTATAAAGAGGTAGCGTCCGTTTTTTCCCCTTTTCGCTAAGCTGTACAGACTCTGGGGGGGAAATAACAAGCCCTGCTTCTTACTCAAAAAGAACTTCTCATTTTCTGTCCTTTTTGCCTCATCTCGTGGAAGAAATGGGAATATAAGCAAGGGGAGAATTTTCAAATTCATAATTGTAAGAGTGCGCAAGTGGGTCGCAGCGGTTCTGGAGTGGAGGAAACAAAGGGAGAGTAAACAAAAAAAGGAAAAAAAAAAAAAAAAAAAGAAAAAAACTACGCGTGAGTATCAATCAGGATACAATAACGCAGCGCCAATTTGCAAAATGGATCATCAAATTGAGACCGCTTCGATGGTTGCTCTTAAAATACATGCAAAACATGAACGCAGCCATGTCGCCATGGGGGTGCTGGCGTACGAATCATGTTTGAGAGGAATTCCCTGCAGCGACGGCACGTTTATACCCCCGCGTGGTGTTGTTCTCGGACTAGCACTTCACCCTGTGGAACTTTCGCAACGAGTGTAACGTCTGAAGCATTTTAAGAGCGATCTGTTTTGTTCCCTCTTCTGTGTGAAAGCAACAGGGGCCGGGTTTATTGGGGTGGTATTCCCCCACGAGGCAATGAACGTGTAAAAATGCTTCACTTGCAAAGCATCGGAGAAGATGTTCCCTAATCACAAACATGTTAGTCATATGTTTGGAAGACGTGTTATACGTTATATTATATACATAGACTCGCATATGTACATTTAAACAAAAGCGGCGCGCCCAACCTAAGTCATTCTTCTCTCATTTTATGGCAAGCACATTCACACTTGGAGATTTCCCGTTCCTTCACCTACCAAAAAAGGTCAAACTGATTAGCACCCTCACAACTGCGTCTTATGAGAGTAAAGAAAAAAAAATCGTTTCCAATTACTGTTCCATTTTCCCTGCCCCTGGATTGTTTCCCATATTCTGAAATTAAAGCATCCTAAAAGGCTTGTACGTCCCACTCTTCCCTTTTTGCCCGAGCCCCATTTAAGTGGCTGAAGGGAATATAAAAATGTTTTCCGCATCGTACAAGTATAAACAATCACGCTAAAAACCTTTAAGGTATAATTTTCTTTTTATTCTTTTTTGCTGGCAAACTTTGCCATGCAATTGTACAATATCACCATGATGATGCTTCTTAAAGCAGAACTGGAAACTTTCGCCAATATGAAGTTTTGCATCACATTGCCATCCTCGCAAAACCAGTTATACCGCTCATACTCTTCTTTGAAAGCGTTCCGATGAATCGTTAAAGTGAGTGAGATTCCATTTTGAAGGTCCATTATCTACACGTAGGGATAATTAGCTACTTTTTGTCACAACGCAGGTATCTATGTTCATCTCCTTAAGGTTCATCAAAAATGTAGAAAAATCACAGCTTACACCTCATGTCTGCATTGTCAGCATCTTTTTTGTATATTTCCCTATTCACGTGACTTTAGACTGTCACCCAAAGTTTACAAAAAAGGGGGACATCCTCTTCCACTTCCTCAACATGGAAGGTGTTTAAATGACTCACTGAATCATCCACCTTTGACGCTAGCTCATATGGCCAGCATAAATAATCGCTCCCAAGTATGCGTTCCCCTGCACACGTGAAGGAGGCCTATTTCTTCCAATTTAATTTCCAAAAAAAAAAAATAAAATAAAATAGAATAAAAATAAAATAAAAATAAAGCGGAACTCACAGTTTTGTATACTCAAGAAAAGCTATTAAAATCGTGGATGAACAATTTATCCAACAAGGCCATGAAGGTGTCCCTCCTGAATTAGCGTGACGATGACATAAGTCCGTTTGGAAGACTCCAATACGTTTGTGCTGTAGTGATCGGCGAAAATCGCACGACTATTAACCTGACGGGGGGAGTGGCGTAAAACTATTGAATAGACACACCGCTCAGGCAGAGCGATCAAGCACACCTCTCTCACACACCGCAGTCAACAGAGGACGCCCAAACAAAATGAGCACGGCGAACGGCGAGGAATGCAAACTGATGCAAAGATACCCCAGCAAAAAGAAAGACCTAAGCAATGGCACATGCTCAGCGAAGGAGAAAGATGCAAGCAGAAGGAAACAATCATTCAATGACTTCGAACTCGAAATTGACGATGACATTATCACTCACTTGTCTTCTCGCATATGCAACAAAAATGTTACACATAAAATACTAAAGATCAACAATTTGATAGATGACCAGATGCATGACTATATCGCGAATAGTCCAACGTCCGAGGTAAGTGAATCCAACGATGAGAGTGACACCCACGAAAGTGTGGAGAAAGCACAGTTAAATTTACGTAATGGTTGTGCGGTTTGTCAAAATGGAGATGAAGAATCTTCCAGCAACAGCCTTTCGCACGATAATCCCGAAAGGAGGGGCATCTCATATGAACAGATACCCACGTATGAGCTTAACAAGGAGGGGCAAGGGAAGAGCAAAGAGAAAAGTAAAGGTAAGGGGAAAGGACAGCTGAATTCGGATCGCCCCCCTTTGGAACAACACCTTGCGGATGGGCGCACCGATTTTGACAGAATAAAAATGATAAACTTGCTAGGTGAAAACACAATTGTATACAACATCCGGGATGACCAGAACAACGTACTCTTCCTATGCTATGATGAAAAGAGCGAAGAGTGCGATGTGTGCGATAGATACAGGAGAAATTACATGTCCAATATGCATCCGTCCAGTTGCGCTCACCTGCGGGGGGGAGACGCCGCCAACGGGGTTGCGGCGATCAGCGAGATTGCCGCGATGAACGGGACTGTCGCGATGAACAAGCCTGTCGCGATGAACGGCTCTACCGCGACCAACGGGACTACCGTCCCGAACGCACTAAGCGAGTACTTCTTCGTTCTGGGGTCGACTTCCAACTCGAGGAAATACATACTGAAGCAGAGCAGCCTGGACTTCCTCTCAGTGCGCATACACATCGATGAGAAAAAAATAGGATGCAGGAAAAGCCACGATCCGCTAACCCTAACGTCCAACATAGCAGTGGGAAAGGGATTGAAGCTACTAAATATGATTAAGACAGACAGTGCACTACACAAAAAAATTGCCGATCTGAGTAAAGGGAAAAAAGTTGTCCTCTTGGTCGGAGATGAAGTCATATACTGCAACAACAAAATCTACGAGAAACCAAAAAATGAAAAGGAAGCTTCTGACTTCCTCAAATCCTACAACAACAACAAATGTTATAGTTACAGTAGCATCACGCTAATCGAATTAGAAACCGAAAAAATTATCACCGGTATTGATGAATCTATTGTTAACATATACGACATGGACGATTCAGTCGTGAAGAAAATCCTTGATGATTCTTCTATATACTTCTGCGCAGGGGCATTGAAAATTGAAAACATTCACATGCAGAAGTATATAAAAGTTATCAAAGGAAATATTGACAGCATCTTCGGTTTGTCACTAAATCTTCTCTTCCACCTTGTCAACTTTCTGTGAAATATGTGCACTATGTATTGCTCTCCGCAAATTCGTCGTTGTTTATTTTTCCATCCTTTTGTCCTGCTTCATCTTTTTTCCACCGTTCGAAATGGAATTTTTTCCCACGGTGAGTATTGTGTTGTGCCATTTTGCATCTCCTAATTTTGGTCACATAGGTGTGGTATAAGCAGATGGAACAGGAGATGGAACAGCAGACCAACCAGCAAATGGAGCGGCAGACGAACCAGAAGAAGGTCCCCTTCCTTCACCTTTCTTTTCCCTCCCTTATCTGCCCGTCTAATTTTCCACCGCATAAATTTACGATCACCACGTCTATGCGTGTATTCCATTTTGTCCAATGTTGTGTCCTGACAAACCAAGGAGTAACAAAAAAAGAAGGAAAAAAAAAATGGCTAATGGGAAGAGTGCCCCAATTATGGGACTTGCGATGCAAAAGCAGAGACTACCAAAATGAACGAAAAAGGCAAATAACAAAAGCGTAAAACGTGAAAAAACGCAGTGCGGTAGATGCGCGCGCCCTGTTTAAGTGGCACGCCTCTCTACCGATTGGACTTCCCTGGGTCGGTAAAAAACTTCACCCAGGCAAGATCCTCCACCCCCTTTTGTAGTGTCCCCCACAGCGCGCATCCCTCACTGCAGATTCACGTTTTTCTTCTTGTCCAACGCATGCGGTGTTATGCTGGGCGCGCTGGGCGACTTGGATCTACCCTTTGCTAAAAGGCTTTGAAAAAAGCTGTGCAAAGATTTATCATTTTGTTCCTTATTTGCGCTATTCTGGTTGTTGCTTCCGTTGTTTATAGGGGCGGTCGCTTCGTTCAGGGTGACATCGATTTTTATTTTGTCCACCCCAGCGTCAGTGCAATTAACGTTGTTATCTCGAGCACCATGGCGAATGTCATCACGAGCGCCATCACGAGTACCATGACAAATGTTCTCGCCACCGTCGCCATTATTATCATCGCCATCCTTATCGGCCCCGCTGGCCCCGTTCGACTCCACCTGCGGGGCTAGGCTCGCCAAAAAATCGTTGAAATAACTATCAGACACAATATTATGGCTATGCTCCACTATGCTTTTATTTGTTATGGGCTTCACGATAATGGAGTCATAGGGCTTATTAAAATTTTGCACGAAGGTATTCTGTATGGACTGGTTTATCAACCCCTCGTCATCATAGCCTGATGGCACAAACACCCTTTCGTAGTCGTCCAAAATGGCGTTGTCACTAAAGGGGAAGTTATAAATACGATGCATTATATACCTGTACAGGAGCTTCACATTTTTGGCTTCCTTGTTATTGGCTGTGTTGCAGAAAATAATAGCTGCTTGGTAATTCACCGCTAGGTTTCTCAGGTAGGCAATGATGACATCGATATACCCTTGGTATGTTCGATTGTTTAAAATTTCGTACCCGTCCGATTTGCAGATGACAAAGAGTATTGGGAATGACATGTTGATTTTTATCAGTCCGTCTCGTTCTACGTTGAATTTGTTTCCCTCACTGTTGGCACTGCTTGTGCGTAGTTGCACTTGGCCCTCAGCGGTTAAGTCTTCCATAAGGGGTTGTGACTCCCCGACAATGGTGCCATTTCGTGGGTTTACTCCAACTTGGCATTTTCTCCCCTGCTTTTTCTTCTCAAATGCGTCTCTTTTATAGTTATACACATAACTCTGCAAGCTCTCCTTCAGCTCACGGAGCACCTCAATATTGTAGTCAGAATGCAGGTGTTCAAAGATCACATACAACATATCGATCCATTGATTTATGTCAGACATGATGTTGTAAGGCTTGTACAAATCTGTGCATATGAGAATAACTACCTTCTTGATATCGCTAAATTTTTTTAAATTTTTAATTAATGAACTCACATATGAAGAGTGCTGCAGGATCCACACGTGGCTACTCCCTTTCACTTCATTTGATTTTTTATTTTCTTCTAAATTTTTTACACTTAAACATGCATAATCTAGTGGAAGAACTCCACCCCCATTTTGGTATAACACTTCTCCATCGTTTTTATCTCCTTGCAGTGAAATTTCTTGTAGCGATTTCACTAAGGAGGACTTCCCCACGTCCTTATTGCCGAGGATTATGATATGGCTACTCTCTAGCTCTTCGTTTTCCTGCATGTTTAATTTTTTTAGGATATTTTGGTATATGCTTTTTTTCTCCTGCCCCACATCCTCGTCTTTGTGCTCCCCTTTGTCCGCCTGGCTCTCCTCTACAGCATCTACCGAATCAACCGAAGCAACCACAGAAACGGCAGAAGCCGCATCGGCATCGTATGAGATTTCCAAATTGGAGTTTTCGCTGCCACTTTCGTCTGTTTCCCCATTATTAAGTGCATCCTCGTCCACTCCCCTGTTGCCATTCTGTTGATATCCCTCTGTCAGTTGCTCCGAAAATTTATGGCTCAACGGACACGGACCTTCGTCTGCGTCTTCATTTTTTGGTGCACTTTCATCCTCATTTTCGTCTGCGTCTTCATTTTTTGGTGCACTTTCATCCTCATTTTCGTCTGCGTCTTCATTTTTTGGTGCACTTTCATCCTCATTTTCGTCTGCGTCTTCATTTTTTGGTGCACTTTCATCCTCATTTTCGTCTGCGTCTTCATTTTTTGCTGCACTTTCATCCTCATTTTCGTCTGCGTCTTCATTTTCCGCTGCAGCTTCATCCTCACCTTCGAACGCTTCCTTCCCAGCTTGTTTCTTTCCAACTGCCATGTTACCCATTTCTGGGGATACTCCCTCATTTCGCGCAGCTTGGCTAAATTTCGATAAGCGCCTTGTCACGCTAATTTCCCGAGTGTCTTTTTGTTCTCCGTCGTTATTTGCCGCTTTACTCTTTTCCTCCTCTCCACTAAGTTCACTACTGCCTGCCCCTTGCTCATCCTCAACATTTTTCTTCTCATCATATACCTTCCTGTAGCTTTTTTCCTTCCCTGGGTTATACTTCCCATTGACACCATTTTTTTCCATTTTTTTCTTGTCATCGTCCATTTTCTTCTTTAATACCACTCCACTTTCTTCTTCATTCACTTTCCCACTTGCTGCAACCTTCATAAGATTAACCCTGCTCTTTCTGGAGGTGATGCCATTGTCCTTTGCGCTCTTTGCACTCCATTTCTCCTTATAAGTGTCCCTAAATTTCGCGTTGGCCTTTAGTCCCCCCGCCTTAGCTGTGTTGCTTTTTTTCAAAATGCTCATTGATGTGTTAGAAGAGTTCTTATTTTCGCGGTTCATCCTGATTGTCTTTAAATTGAATTTTTCTTGGGGGCAGGGATGGGAGGCTCTTAATTACAACGATGCGTAGGGCATATCTCTACCCATGTGCGCAGGGCATATCTCCACACATGTACGCAGGCATATGTATATATGTACGTAGGTGTGTTGTGGAACGACTGCCTAAGACGAAGCGACGAGGCCGAACCTGCCCCTCACGATGAATCAAAATGGGAAAAACGAAATGTGTCCCCCCGAACAACCTATCCTAATGCGATGGCATGCAAAAGGCGGACGGACAACCTAACAGTCACGCACGTGCTCTAATTAACAAAAAAAAAATTTAATAAATCAAAGCGTGGTATACAAGTGTGTACTCATACATGTCCCCATTTGTATGTGCACATAATCCTGTACTTATTATAGAAAGCAAGTTCACATTTGCGGAGCAAAATCTTTGTCACTTGCCGTCTGATTAACGCCAGCTTAAGCGTCAGCGAGTTCCTACAACACGGTACAAAAAAAAAAGAAAGAATTGTGAATGAGTGAAAAGACGCCAGTTGGATGCTCCTGCGTGGGAAAGTAGGCATGAACGTTGCTACGTTGATAAGTCGTTAGTGTATTTTCGTGTTGGCCTATTTGCGTGATGGTGCACGCGCATACTTATGCACACTTGTATGTGGTTTTTTTTTTTTTTTAACACCCGTTTTTGCGCTCAACAGAGGGGGGCATCAAATCAAAATATGCCTGAAGTTCCCCTTCCAAGCAGACCACTTAAGACTTTAAAAATTGACCCGAAAAAACGAAATAGAGTACAAAACGGGATAACCATACATGTTTGCAAAAATTGTGCTGTCAGTAAAGCTACACACGAATGTTCCCTTTGGTGTGGCAAGAAAAAAAAAAAAAAAAAAAAAAAAAGCCCGAGGTTACGAGATATAGAAAGAATGTGCATGCGCATTTGCTTCAAGATTGTTACTTTCCATGTGTCACAGATCTAAGTCACTGTGTTTAACGCAGAAATTATAGTAACTCCCTGAACCATACTTACGCACGTAAAAATACATTTGTGAAGATCAGCTTTCCATACGCATTTCCGCATCAACAAGCTTTGTCAATCGGTCAAAGTTATTCAGGCTATTGCTAAGTTATCACTCCATTATTTTTTTAACGAATAGACAAATTGGCACCCTTAAGACGTAAAAAAAAGAAAAAACATGCAATTTGCGCTACACACTCTGATGTTAACCGTTCAATATGTGGGATAAAAAAGGGAAGAAAGTCAAAAGATCAATTCTATGCTTTTATAGATCTGTCCCATCCTCTATTTTGTTTTTATATTTTTCAATTTTGGCTCTTATGTGTTAAAAAAAAATTGTTAAGAGGTCAGGTTAAACCATGCACCATGATTAAGAGGATCGTATGAGGGGAGGAAAAACGTTAAGCGTTGAGGAATGACTCCTTCGTTGAGATAGGAACCGTTTAGCGACATAGAAGATACATATTCCTCTTTTCAACTTTAAAAACCTTAAGTAGCGACAGCTCGTCCGTGCTCCTCCATGATATAGCTTCACGTTCTCATTTCGTAACAAATGTCTTAGCGTTGTTTTGAGGGGGTCAGGAAAAAAAAAAGAATGCACACATAGATACATATATATATATACTCCGAATGAACATAAGGGGGAAACTTCCCACATTGAAAGATGAGAGATACGTTGCGAAAACGGTAAACACATCCATAACTACAACCACAAGAGCACTAACGCGCCCGACTCATTACAGAATTCACCCCAAATCATCACCTTATAATAACCGCTGCGCCCATATGCGTGGAAGACACTCACACGGAACCAGCTGTAAAAATAAATTCCACTTCGCCAATAAATTACATTTTCCACTGGGGCACCAAAGTCGTGCCCCTTTTGTGAATATTTTCTCTACCCGTACAAACTTAAAGACAGAAAAGAAAAGAAAAAAAAAACGCCAAAAACGTAACTATTCTAATAACATTACTGCTCCAAGGGCATAGACTTGGAAGTATATTTTTTTGCCGATAGCACAATTGCAGATTTACTAATTTGGAAATGACTCCCACAGTTTCTCTCTTTCAATTTGTGAACATTCTTAACATTAGCAGAACAAAACGGAGGGTTAACCACATTTTGCATTGTTCCAGGCCGTCACGTGCACGCCGTTTTGGCGCTAAATTTCCGCATAGGTACATAACACGTACATATAAACCCTGAATATAAGTACGCACTGTTTACTTGGAGATGTGTTCACCATGTGGGCAGTCAGTAAGGCGTCAACCCCTTCTTTTTATTTATCATTGTGCCATGATATGCATATCCGAACATGTTTCTCCTAGCTCCATTTGTTCACACACAAAATTGTTACAGAAAAGTGTTCATACGTTTCTGCGTTGCGTCAACAAGGGTGATAGCTTCGTCAGAAACGTAAGGGAATATAGATCATCATTTCAGTCGCCAAAAATGGCCACCGGAAAATAAAAACTTGCGATATTTATTCGATTTTCGGGGGGCATATCTTTAAAGGAGCAATGGAATAATAACAGTGACTCATGCGTCTATGCAACATATTTTCCACCATTTTGCATTAAAAGGTCCTCCTCATCTCTCCTGCATTTTTTGTGCAACAGTTTTCTCTTTCTTTAAAAAAAATTATCCGGGCTATGTGGCACTACACAATTTATCACTCTGTAATTTGACCTGCTTTACCGCGTATCTTTCGGTCTTGTATTTTTTTTTTTTTTCCCATACTGCAACTGCGATGCTGTTCATTTTGAAGTTTTATTTTTTAATTTTATTTTGCAAATGTTTATATGGCTTCAGCTTGGTTAAGTTTGCCCATTGTTCTTACATTTTCTTTTTTTTTTCTCGCTTTGCCCCATTTCGTTGTCACCTTTTACGGCACTAGCTATGTGATCATCCAACTGATGGTGCAGCCGAACCGATAATCACTAAAAGGGGAAATGTTAACTTGAAATGCCTTAAAAGGCGCTTGCATTTTTACCATTTATATTTATCTATCTTAAGTGCAAACACTTTGCAACCAAAACGGGAAATAAAATAGAACGCGGCAGGCATAAAAATATGTCACAAATCATATGACAAGAAAACTGCAAAATGAAGTGAACAATTAACTTAGAGAAGAATCTATCTGCAGAATCTTCTACAAAAAAAAAAAAACACAACAAAGTTTACATTTCTTTGCAATAACAATCAGCTGCGATGAAATAGTTATTAAGGCGCATACAATTCTTTTTCTTTTTTTTTTCTTCCTTTTTTTTTTTCATTTTTTTTTTGTTGAACAAACGGAAGATAAAACAATGTGGTTCTCTTTCGTTACCTTCCTAAAAGCATTTTTTTAAAAGTACAAAATATGTTGAGGTAGAGAGGAAGAAAGAAAAAAAAATTAACCCTTAGCTATGGAGTTAGCTGTAATAACTAATTAAAAATTTGAAGTAGCACAAACGAACTGGTTGGTGCCTGTGAAATTTTTCCTTATACATGAAAGTCCCCTTTTTTTTGAGTGCCAATTTGTTTGTCTCTTTATTTTGTTCTCCCATTTGTGTGCCCATTTGCTCTCTGATTATTCCCCAGATTATCTGTCAATTCGTCCATTTGCCAACGTAGCGCCCTTTTCCCCTTGGCAAAAAGAGATCACACTTGTTGCTTAAAAGCCAGGTGGTTCTACTCCGCACTTCGTCGCGGCGGCTCGACTAAGAAGCCTTTCTGCGATCCCCTCTCCACCCCCTTGGCACCTTTCATGTGCCCCTTATTCTATAAGTATTTCCCAGCAAGATGATTGAATGTATCGAGAATTACATAAAAAATTTTAAGGAGAAGGAAAACATGTTTGTGAAAAAAAAATTGTCCATCATTGGGTCCCCCCTGTCGGCTGGACAGCCTTTGGGAGGAGTGCACCTGGCTTGTGACAATTTAAGGATGCTCGGTTTGCACAAGGTGATAGAGGCCTTGGGTTGGAGTTACGAAGACGTTGGAAATGTTACTACTGGCGGAAGTGGAGGAAGTATTGGCAGCGGTGGAACTACTGTAGACAAAGATGTCGCCGGGAAGGGAACCGATGAAGAAGCTGAAATGAAGGGAATGAGAAGCACCCACAACATAAGCTTCTCACATACAGAGGAGTATCATCACGGAATGGAAAAAATGAACGTAGACACAAAATTAAACCACTGCTGCAATGGGAAAGATAATACCAATTGGGAAAATCATAGCAGCGTTAATGATCACGGGGGCAAAGGATGCATGACCAGAAAGTGCGTACAAAATGGCTATTATAATAATATAAAAAATGTTGAAATTATTGGAAAATTTAGTGAAAAATTATTTCTCACAATGAGTAAAGAATTAAGGAAGAAAAATTTTGTATTAAACCTTGGAGGTGACCACAGCGTTGCATTTCCCAGCATTCTGAGCTGTTTGCAATTTTACCAAGATTTAAGAGTTATATGGATAGATGCCCATGGAGACATTAACATCCCGGAGACCTCTCCCTCAGGAAATTATCATGGCATGGCATTAGCTCACACCATAGGACTCTTTAAAAACAAAGTGCCATTCTTCGAGTGGAGTGAAAATCTCACATATTTAAAACCAGAAAATGTAGCTATAATTGGAATACGAGACATCGATATATATGAAAAAATTATCTTAAAAAAATGTAACATTAATTATTATACAATCTTTGACATTGAAAAAAATGGCATATACAATACCATCTGTACAGCTCTTAAGCTGCTAGATCCCCATGAAAATTGCCCCATACACATTTCTTTCGACATTGATAGTGTCGATAGTTTTTTCGCTCCAGGAACTGGAACCATTGCCAAGGGGGGCCTAAATTACAGAGAAATTAATTTATTAATGAAAGTGCTGGCAGACACAAAGCGCGTCGTTTCAATGGATTTGGTAGAATATAATCCATGTCTCGACGAAAATGATAAAAAGGTTCACAGCGATTTCTTGCCCATTTCGGAGTATGCCACAAAAACGGGCAAGCTTTGTCTGGAGCTTATTGCCAGGGTTCTCGGCAACGACATCGTCTAGCTGCCCTGTGCCAAGATAAATACCTATGTCAATGTTTGTCTATATAGCTTATAGCTCATAGCATATTTCTCGTGTGCGCTGGGCGTGAAGGAATATGTCCTGGAAGCAGCCCCTCTCGCACACTTTCCAAAGCGTAAAAAAGGAGAGGGGGCCCTGCGCGCTGTTCGGCCTATTACATATATATATATATCCATGACCCATTATCCACAATCCACCGGATCTGAAGTCTCATTTACCAATCGAGACCACAGGAGATATGCACGTCCTGACACTTACGCTTGTGCGTGTGCTTACATTCTTCGTCGTGCATGTATGCCCATTTATATGCATCCGATGCGTGCTTCAACTTTTCCTTCCCCCTTTGCAAATTTGTCAAAAGAAGCTCTGCCCCTAACTTCGCCGTGCACCAGAGCTTTCTCTATCGAATTTTTTATCTGTCCAACTGCGCATCTTCGCGTCCTCGCGTGTGGCAAAAAAAAAACTTCCCATGTGCCACCTATGGTGACCCTTTTTTACTTTTTTCTATTATTCTTATTTTAATAATTCATTTCTAATAATACAGAAAGTATACATTTTTTTTCAATTTTAAGTTAATTAAAAAAAACGTTTGAAAAACATTAACAATCTGGGAATGAAAAGCCTCAGAAAGATAACTATACATTAATATTACAATTTGATCTCTTATTTTTTCTCTGTTTTAAAAAAAAAAAGCATCAATTGTTATATTATGCTACATTGTATTATATTATATAAAAACAAATATTAATTATTAAAAAAAAACTTAAAAAAGATATACATTATGCGCGTATGTATATATATAGGTGTACATGACACATGTATATATATATGCTACATAGTACACGACGCACACGGTACGTGGTACTTTTATGTATATATATTAAAAAAAAATAAATACAAAAATGGGAATCGTACAATTCTAGGGAAACCACACGCTAGGGCACGGGCACGCTTGATGCGCGTACACAAATGCGTGGATATTACGGCACGTACATATACAGATGTATAGCAGTGTATAAAAGGGTGCGCGCGGGCATGCCAATTGCACATTTGCAAGCAACAATACACTCGCGCGTTGTCCATACGGAAATATACTACTACACATGTGTACACATAAGTGTGCATAATACGCCGATACGTATGTGCGCGATAAGCGTCAGAGCTATACGTATTCATCTGGGGGCGTATATAGGCCTATAAGTACAAATTCCTGCACTGCATTTCTCGCACTACAGATATTTATATCTGTATAAATTAAAATATACAGTAGTATACGGTAGTATACAGTAATGTACAGACGTATACAGTAATGTAGAGAAGTATAAAGTATAGCACTCTGGTCTCCTCTGCTAACGCCTTGCCTATTGGGGGTACATGCATAAATGCATTCTCTCGTATACTGTAAAATATCAATTTGAATTCCTGGTTTTAATTTGTTTAAAAATTTAATTAGTTTTAATTATATTTAATTTTGTTGCATTCCATGGATATGGATGGGGTGAGGGGGGATACTTGTGGAGGTGATAATTCCTACATAATGGTGTACTCTAAAATATACACATGTGTTTGTTTCTTTTTCTCAGATAGCTATTTTAATCTTTATCCTTTCTTTCAGCTTTTTGGCTATTTTTCGCTATTTTTTTTTTTTTTTTAAAGACTTGACCATACTTTTTTTGAAAAAAAATTATTGTGTCAGTTAAAGAATAAACAAAGATTTATCAACTTTGTCCATTTCGCTCATGTGCACGTCGCAGTTTTCAAACAACTTCTTGTCATAATTGTTGCACATTCCATAATTGAAAATTTTGAAATAGTCCTTCTCTGCACCAAGACTTTTGGCCTTTCCGAATAGAGAGAAATTTTCCCAGCTAACTAGGTTGTCGGGGTTTTCCTTTTCCTTCATTATTTTGCTGCACAAGTTAGTTTGCTGTTCAGAGTCTACTTCAACGTCCATCATGTTATTGCCACTCATTATGTTCCTGTTGTTGCCTGAGAAATCAGGCCTTGCGGCTCCGTCGCTCTTTTGTTCTTTGTCAAGCATCAGGTACTTGCATAGCATGCGTTGCGTCCTGCCATTACAATCTGCGCCGTTGGTCATGTGGACGCCGCTAGTGCTCATTTCGGCCTCGTTGTTCCTGCTGCCCATGTTCAAACTCATGTCGTTCATGTTTCCCATGTTGAGAGGCAAGTCGCTGATGTTCCCCATATCAAGGGGCAAGTTGTTTAGGCTGTTCATGTCGAGTGGCAGGTGGTTCAAGCCGTTCACATTCATGTTGCTCATGTTGTTCAAATTGCCCATATTGTTCATGTTGCCCATGTTGTTCATATTGCCCATGTTGTTCACATTGCCCATGTTGTTCATATTGCGCATGTTGTTCAGGTTAACCATTCCGTTCATGTCGTTCATGCCACTTATACCGCTTATGTCCATGTCCATGTTACTCATGCTGTTCATACCAAGGCCGTTCAAGTCGCTCATATAGTTCATGTTGCCCCCGCTGTTCCCGTTGTTCATGTTCATGTTCATGTTCATTCCGTTGACGCCACCCATGCCATTGGAGCTGTTCATGGTGTTCAAGCTGCTTATACTTCCCATGCTTCCCATGCTATTTAAAGTGTTCATGGCGTTGACACTGTTGTTTATGGTGTTGGTACTAAAAAAAAGGTCCTCGTAATTCAGCTTGTCCAAGTTGGTTCCATCGAAATTGTAATAATTATCTTCCGGTCCGTTATTGTGCATATTCATACTCATGTCCAAATTTTCAGCATTCGGTGAGGCTATGTTAAAGTTCATTAGGGAGGATGAATTGTTGTTGTTTCCAATGCCTTTATTGTTCCTGGCATATTTCATTAAGGCTCCGTTGCTGCTGTTGCTACCTCCAATCATGTTGTTGTTCGCGAAATTTCCCAACGAATTGTTTCCAACTTCATTTAGCATACAGTTGCCAATGTTGCTTCCTTTTCCAAATTTTTCTATGCCACTGTTGTGTTCTTCTAGGAAGCCCAAAACGTTCAAATTGTCATTCAGAAATTGCTCCTCATTGAACTTTGTACAATCCTCATGCTTTAGGTAATTTCCTACAGACGATGGAATGTCATTCCTGTTCCTTCCGTCACACCGACTACTGCTGCTGTTGTTCATAATTTCGGCATTCTTGTACTTGTGATTCTTGTGGCCCTTCTTGTGGTAGTCGTGCGTATCGTTCTTCCTTCCAATCTTGTTTCCGCTGTGGTTCGAGCTCTGATTTCGGCCGTGGTTTCCGCCCTGCTGGATGCCATTTCCACCTCCGTTCGTGCTTCCACTCTTGATGGCGTTTTCTACACCTCCCTTCTTGCTGCTGTCGTGGCAGTTGTCCGTCGTGCTGTCGTTCAGTGCATGGGGGTCCACTGCTTCCGCAACATCGCCAACACCATCATCTTCCGTGAGCGCGCTAACTTTGTTCGGGTGAGTTGTCTCCTTTTTCTTGGGCATAACACAATACGTTTCATTCCTCTTGCCGTTTTCTCCGTTGTGCATATTGTTGCTGATGCCGTTTCCGCCCTTCTTTTTCTCATAATCCAATTTGTCATTCTTCATTTTGCTCGTTCCAATGATTATATTCTTGTCTGTTATTTCCATTGGATGTTCCCTTAATTCATTCTGGCCATGAGCATATCTGCAGAATTGCCCTGAGAAACATTTCCCCTTAATAAAGCTTTCGCACAAGGCCGTTTTGTACAAGTTTTCTGTGGCTCTCAATTCGATGTTCGTGTGTGCGTACTTGCATTTCTTATCATTGCATGATTCGTTAATTTTCAATTTTGGGCACAAGCTCGTTTTGCACAAATTGGGCAATTCTCTCAGTTCATTCTGTGCATGCGCATACAAGCAGGTCTTTCTCCTTTCGCATTTCCCCTTAATATACCATGGACAGATCTTCGTCTTGTAAAATAGGATCCTCCTCTCGCTGGTGTTTACCACATTGCTCAGATTTTCTTCCTTCCTCATGTTTCTAAAATCGTCATTCATCTTTTCCTTCGGTGCCGTCGGAAACATTTTCCTTTCCATAAACTTGGAAAAATTTTTCTTGCCATTCATTTTGTGTAGATATAGCGGGGTTGGAAAATTCGGATGAAGTTATTTTGAGTTCCCTTCTGGGTGGAGTTATTTTCCGTAGTCTTTTTGCTAAACGTGGGTAGGTATATATATATATATACATACATACGGGTGCACTTCTTTGTTCCTATGTTGCTGCCTTCTCGCACGCGTTTCTTCTTCTTTCCGCGTGTGTGCCAGCGAAGTTATGGGTATGCGCTCAGTACTGTACAATCACAATTAAATGGTAAAGAAATGCCAAGAGTAATTAACACCTTACGGGCAGGGAAACGAATGCACCGCGAAGTCAAAAAAAAAGATATCTCCCCTCGTACGGTAATAAAAATGATGCAAATAGCACGGTTATTAGCACACGTATAATCGTATAAGCATTAACCCAATGGGCGCTTGGCAAGTTGCCCAATGCTAATTTTTCAGGTGGAAAAAAATGTACCGTGTGTTGTATACTATATTCTACAGTAAGGCCGTTAAACAAAGGCATAAAAAGGGTAAGCAGATTGGATAAAACACAATGGGGAGGGGGGGGGAATAATATGGTCTCTCTTTTGCTTGTTTTTTTGTTCTCTCTCTATCAATCTTTTTATCTCTCCTTTTTTTTATCTCGGATTGCTCGAAAAAAAAAAAAAAAGGTGCACTGTGTACGTATTACACAAATGGCGTAAGACTTGGAGACTCGTTCTTCTACACGTTCGAACTGTACATACACACGAGTACTGACATATATATATGCGAATATAGGTGCTCACATATGTGTACCAATGCGCGAATGGTATAATATGTGTATAAATGCAAGGCACGCCAATTTGTTCCTTTATATTTTTCTCTCGCGCCTATACATTATCATTTTTATTTCGTTGCCTAAATGAGTGAGCGGGTGCATGTTCATATAAATCTGCACCTGCGCCTCCCTGTCCGCGTGTATACGTTACGACAATGCGCAGTGTGCCTTATGGTACGACTCGACAAACGCTCATTCATTCGGGTGTATAAATGTGGGCATATATATATACACGTACATATACGCACAGTGCTATGGGGGCTGAATAGGCGTGGTCGCAATATGCTCGCGCGTAAACGTTGCACCGGTAGGTACTTGTCTAAACAGCTGTATAAAAATAACGTACCGTGTGATCGCTGGTGCAAAATTACACTGGGTGTGGATGATCACGCTGTCGTGTCGTATGCTCGTGGTACACATAGACGCACATATATGTATACATATATATGTACGTACATACGTAAACGAATACGTGCATATGCCCACGCTCATTCGTATACCTCCACACACATACACTCAACGTGGGTCAATATTAATTATATGTGGGGATAAAACAAATATTTAAAAAAGAAAAAAAAGGTGTGGCAATTATACAATAAAACTTTGCCTAAACATCTGTATGGTTAAAAAATAAAAAAATTTCATATAAAGGATCGTAAAAAATAAAATCTACATGGAATAATATCTCGAAAAAATGGCGCGCTAAAAAAGGGACGCAGTATACAAATGGGGTATTAAAAAAAGGCAGGCTATAGAAAAAATAGAGTATTGCATTACATAGGGAGAGATGAAGTACAAAGCAAAGCTGTACAAAATAAAATTTTAAAAAAAGATATCTTAAAAAAAAGGTGACCTCAAAAAAATGCGATCTTAAAAAAGGCAATTTTAAAAACGCAATTTTAAAGACGCTATCTCAAAAATGCAATTTTAAAAATGCAATTTTAAAAAGGCAATTTTAAAAACGCAATTTTAAAGACGCTATCTCAAAAATGCAATTTTAAAAATGCAATTTTAAAAAGGCAATTTTAAAAACGCAATTTTAAAGACGCTATCTCAAAAATGCAATTTTAAAAATGCAATTTTAAAAAGGCAATTTTAAAAACGCAATTTTAAAGACGCTATCTCAAAAATGCAATTTTAAAAATGCAATTTTAAAAAGGCAATTTTAAAAACGCAATTTTAAAGACGCTATCTCAAAAATGCAATTTTAAAAATGCAATTTTAAAAAGGCAATTTTAAAAACGCAATTTTAAAGACGCTATCTCAAAAATGCAATTTTAAAAATGCAATTTTAAAAAGGCAATTTTAAAAACGCAATTTTAAAGACGCTATCTCAAAAATGCAATTTTAAAAATGCAATTTTAAAAAGGCAATTTTAAAAACGCAATTTTAAAGACGCTATCTCAAAAATGCAATTTTAAAAATGCAATTTTAAAAAGGCAATTTTAAAAACGCAATTTTAAAGACGCTATCTCAAAAATGCAATTTTAAAAATGCAATTTTAAAAAGGCAATTTTAAAAACGCAATTTTAAAGACGCTATCTCAAAAATGCAATTTTAAAAATGCAATTTTAAAAAGGCAATTTTAAAAACGCAATTTTAAAGACGCTATCTCAAAAATGCAATTTTAAAAATGCAATTTTAAAAAGGCAATTTTAAAAACGCAATTTTAAAGACGCTATCTCAAAAATGCAATTTTAAAAATGCAATTTTAAAAAGGCAATTTTAAAAACGCAATTTTAAAGACGCTATCTCAAAAATGCAATTTTAAAAATGCAATTTTAAAAAGGCAATTTTAAAAACGCAATTTTAAAGACGCTATCTCAAAAATGCAATTTTAAAAATGCAATTTTAAAAAGGCAATTTTAAAAACGCAATTTTAAAGACGCTATCTCAAAAATGCAATTTTAAAAATGCAATTTTAAAAAGGCAATTTTAAAAACGCAATTTTAAAGACGCTATCTCAAAAATGCAATTTTAAAAATGCAATTTTAAAAAGGCAATTTTAAAAACGCAATTTTAAAGACGCTATCTCAAAAATGCAATTTTAAAAATGCAATTTTAAAAAGGCAATTTTAAAAACGCAATTTTAAAGACGCTATCTCAAAAATGCAATTTTAAAAATGCAATTTTAAAAAGGCAATTTTAAAAACGCAATTTTAAAGACGCTATCTCAAAAATGCAATTTTAAAAATGCAATTTTAAAAAGGCAATTTTAAAAACGCAATTTTAAAGACGCTATCTCAAAAATGCAATTTTAAAAATGCAATTTTAAAAAGGCAATTTTAAAAACGCAATTTTAAAGACGCTATCTCAAAAATGCAATTTTAAAAATGCAATTTTAAAAAGGCAATTTTAAAAACGCAATTTTAAAGACGCTATCTCAAAAATGCAATTTTAAAAATGCAATTTTAAAAAGGCAATTTTAAAAACGCAATTTTAAAGACGCTATCTCAAAAATGCAATTTTAAAAATGCAATTTTAAAAAGGCAATTTTAAAAACGCAATTTTAAAGACGCTATCTCAAAAATGCAATTTTAAAAATGCAATTTTAAAAAGGCAATTTTAAAAACGCAATTTTAAAGACGCTATCTCAAAAATGCAATTTTAAAAATGCAATTTTAAAAAGGCAATTTTAAAAACGCAATTTTAAAGACGCTATCTCAAAAATGCAATTTTAAAAATGCAATTTTAAAAAGGCAATTTTAAAAACGCAATTTTAAAGACGCTATCTCAAAAATGCAATTTTAAAAATGCAATTTTAAAAAGGCAATTTTAAAAACGCAATTTTAAAGACGCTATCTCAAAAATGCAATTTTAAAAATGCAATTTTAAAAAGGCAATTTTAAAAACGCAATTTTAAAGACGCTATCTCAAAAATGCAATTTTAAAAATGCAATTTTAAAAAGGCAATTTTAAAAACGCAATTTTAAAGACGCTATCTCAAAAATGCAATTTTAAAAATGCAATTTTAAAAAGGCAATTTTAAAAACGCAATTTTAAAGACGCTATCTCAAAAATGCAATTTTAAAAATGCAATTTTAAAAAGGCAATTTTAAAAACGCAATTTTAAAGACGCTATCTCAAAAATGCAATTTTAAAAATGCAATTTTAAAAAGGCAATTTTAAAAACGCAATTTTAAAGACGCTATCTCAAAAATGCAATTTTAAAAATGCAATTTTAAAAAGGCAATTTTAAAAACGCAATTTTAAAGACGCTATCTCAAAAATGCAATTTTAAAAATGCAATTTTAAAAAGGCAATTTTAAAAACGCAATTTTAAAGACGCTATCTCAAAAATGCAATTTTAAAAATGCAATTTTAAAAAGGCAATTTTAAAAACGCAATTTTAAAGACGCTATCTCAAAAATGCAATTTTAAAAATGCAATTTTAAAAAGGCAATTTTAAAAACGCAATTTTAAAGACGCTATCTCAAAAATGCAATTTTAAAAATGCAATTTTAAAAAGGCAATTTTAAAAACGCAATTTTAAAGACGCTATCTCAAAAATGCAATTTTAAAAATGCAATTTTAAAAAGGCAATTTTAAAAACGCAATTTTAAAGACGCTATCTCAAAAATGCAATTTTAAAAATGCAATTTTAAAAAGGCAATTTTAAAAACGCAATTTTAAAGACGCTATCTCAAAAATGCAATTTTAAAAATGCAATTTTAAAAAGGCAATTTTAAAAACGCAATTTTAAAGACGCTATCTCAAAAATGCAATTTTAAAAATGCAATTTTAAAAAGGCAATTTTAAAAACGCAATTTTAAAGACGCTATCTCAAAAATGCAATTTTAAAAATGCAATTTTAAAAAGGCAATTTTAAAAACGCAATTTTAAAGACGCTATCTCAAAAATGCAATTTTAAAAATGCAATTTTAAAAAGGCAATTTTAAAAACGCAATTTTAAAGACGCTATCTCAAAAATGCAATTTTAAAAATGCAATTTTAAAAAGGCAATTTTAAAAACGCAATTTTAAAGACGCTATCTCAAAAATGCAATTTTAAAAATGCAATTTTAAAAAGGCAATTTTAAAAACGCAATTTTAAAGACGCTATCTCAAAAATGCAATTTTAAAAATGCAATTTTAAAAAGGCAATTTTAAAAACGCAATTTTAAAGACGCTATCTCAAAAATGCAATTTTAAAAATGCAATTTTAAAAAGGCAATTTTAAAAACGCAATTTTAAAGACGCTATCT